CAAGCGCTCTCCCACCAGCATTGCTGGGAGATAGAAGGAGACGCGCAGCCCCTTCACTACAGACACTCCCTCCCATGGTCGTGGGCCTTGGAGGAAGTGAAATGAACAGTTTCAAAAAGCGGTAGAAGATGGGAATGGAACATGGCAGTACCTGAGCTCGGTGTGGGTGTTGGTGGTGATGGCGTGCGTGGAGGCTGTGTTGTAGTGCCTGGCGAGGGGATCGTGGGTTTTGGTGTCGATGGACCTAGCACAAGAGAGAGTTGGAGGAGATCTGCTCCAACAGAGGAGATTTGTTGCAGGCAGCTGTCCCACCCTCCCCAAGCACCCCAACACCGTGACCAGCGTGGCCCAGGGCAGGGATCGCAGAATGTCGTCTCAGAAAGAGCCCTGCCACTCAAGGGCTCTTCCACCAGCACAGCTGGGTGACAAAAGCAGATTAGGCACTTCAGTACCTATGCTCAATGTCTTGGCTGTGGGCATTGTAATACATGAAGTAAATAGTGAGTGCAGGCAGTGTCAGTGCTCCAGTCTCCCAGTAGAAAGCCTGCTTGGGCACAGTCTGCATCGCTGCCCCACAGGGCTCTGCAAAGACAACCTGTTTTCCTGCCTCCAGCACAGCCTGCCACCTCAGTCCGTGACATCTCTCAAGCTGCCCTTCCCCAAGCCAAGCCTTGTACCTTTGCAGGATCCCTTTTCAATGGACAGATCATCCAATGCTACATCACTCCGGACATCTTCACCCCATTCTCCCTCCAGGACAATCTAAGGGAAGGGACGGTTCCCAGCATTAGTTCTGGCCACACATGTGAAGTGCCATTAGAAAGCATGGCCCATCTCAGATGGCAGCGAGAGCCTGTGCCCTTACCTGCATGTCTCCTGTGCCGTGCAACGTGATCTCTCCCAAGTTCCATTTGTCCCCGTGGTTCCCAGTGCTGCTCCAGACCAGCACTAGGTCTTCGCCCTTGTCCACGTACACCCGTAGGGCCATTGTTTCAGCCACTCCGTACATGTGGTACCAGAAGCGGAAGCAGTGCGGTCCTTGCAAACTGCACACCGGGCTGAGCAGATGAGCCACAAAGCCAGGGAGGGCATTGCTCCCTTGCAAGTAGATGTAGTAGCCGTCTGAAACAAAACATGCACCACACTGTCACATGCATATCAAATATAGACAAAGCAGCCAGGGACAACCCAAACACAGTCCTGGGAGCACCCCTGCTGCACTTCAAGGCAGGTGAAAGGAGGGGAGAGCAAACACGGGCCCTTTGCTAGCCACAACTCTCCCCAGTCCTGAGTCCACCTATGAACCGTGCTCTCTGGGCCATGGCAGCTGTGTGGCTCGGCCTGGGCAATGGCACCACCTCAAAGCATCACCACAATCCTTGCGTGGCTCTGCAGCTTTAGGGCCCAGTCATCATTGGCTTCTGGAGAAGCCAGTGTCTCCTAAAAGAGAGACCGGTTCCTGGTCCCCTGAGACAGCCGGGTCATCAAGCTTTGTGTTACTTTCCCCCTTGCATGGCAGGTCCTTGCCTGCCCTGCAGGCACCACAGACTGATTCCCAGGGCTGGAAACCTTCCCAAAGGAAGGCTCTGGCTCTGGTGGAGACTGCCACAAATGGCTCTGGATCAAGGCCAGGAAACATGTGGCCTGTGTTTGCTGTTAGAAGAGGTTTGTCTTCCCAGGGACACCCCTCTGCCTGAAGGACCGCTGTGTACTGATTGCTGTTCCTACCTCCTGTCGTGTGGTCGGAGGAGGGGCCGGTATTTTGCGTGGGTGTTGGACCCTTGTTCCTTATCCAGTCAATGCTGCTGTAATCTGCCAGGACCCACTCACAGAAGTCGTTGTCAAATGTGCAGGCGAAACTGCAGTTATCTGTGGGAGCTGGATATAGTACAGAAAGGAAAGCAGAGTTTCTAGAGTGAGGGTGGGACCACCTTTTCCCCGTGTCCCACAGGGCACACCTACATCCCTGGCATGCTCATCGCCAGGTGAGGATGGCCAGCCAAGTGGAAGTGCACGAGCTGAATGCCTAGCACAGCCAGTAAAAAAAACCTGCAGCACTCAAGCGCTCTCCCACCAGCATTGCTGGGAGATAGAAGGAGACGCGCAGCCCCTTCACTACAGATGCTGCAGCCTTTGGCCATGAGCCTTAAAGAAAGCTAGCTGAATACTTGCCACAAGCGGTAGAAGATGGGAATGGAACATGGCAGTACCTGAGCTCGGTGTGGGTGTTGGTGGTGACGGCGTGCGTGGAGGCTGTGTTGTAGTGCCTGGCGAGGGGATCGTGGGTTTTGGTGTCGATGGACCTAGCACAAGAGAGAGTTAGAGGAGATGTTCTCCAACACGGGAGATTTGTTGCAGGCAGCTGTCCCACCCTTCCCAAGCACCCAACATCACGACCAGAGAGGCCAAGGGCAGGGATCGCACAGCGACTCCTCAGCAAGAACTGCAGCACGCAAGCGCTCTCCCACCAGCATTGCTGGGAGATAGAAGGAGCGCGCAGCCCCTTCACTACAGATGCTGCAGCCTTTGGCCATGAGCCTTAAAGAAAGCTAGCTGAATACTTGCCACAAGCGGTAGAAGATGGGAATGGAACATGGCAGTACCTGAGCTCGGTGTGGGTGTTGGTGGTGACGGCGTGCGTGGAGGCTGTGTTGTAGTGCCTGGCGAGGGGATCGTGGGTTTTGGTGTCGATGGACCTAGCACAAGAGAGAGTT